ATGCTATGATATTCAATAAAAAAAAATGGCTTTTTACATAGTTTGTGTAAACTTGTCTTAAAAAGGAACACTGATGTCAACATTTTTTCCACAATGCCAGTGTATTGGCTGCCCTGATGTGATGCCTTTTCAGAATTACATCTGGTTTCTTTCCAGGTCCTCCCCTAGCACTGGCACCATGGTCTGGGTGGTGGGTGACCCCTACAGTGGTCCAAGGAGTCACCCTAGCGTGCATGCTCCCAGCCTGTGTCCATTCTTTGATAGTGCCCATTTGCAAGCCAACCCTCCTCCCATGTCCCCCCCCAGTACACACCCTCTACACAGAAGTTCACAGACGCTAGGGGGTTTATTTACTAAAGCTGGAGAGTCCAAAATCAGACTCCCTTCTGCATAGAAACCAATCAGCTTCTAACCTCAGCTTGTTCAATGAAGCTTTGGCAATGAAACTTGGAAGCTGATTGGTTTCTATGCAGAAGGGAGTCTGATTTTGGACTCTCCAGCTTTAGTAAATAAACCCCTAGGAGTCAGTACTGCAGGACATGGAGATAGCGTGTTGGACAAACAGAAGGGTGTGGGGGGGGAATTTAAATGTACAGGTGCATGTTTGACTGCTTGGTAGCAGCATATTAACAAGTGTTAGTATGAATTTAGGACTGAGGTGAATGCGCAGTACTAAAGTAAACGTCTTGGCACTATAGAAAATACTGATAAAAAAAAAAAAAGTGTGTATCAAGTTCACTAAAGGAAGTTCTTGCAATGCAAAGGGCAGCTTTGATTCCTCAGCACTAGAAGGGTAACCCCTCATCTTATTAAAGTGGATCTAAAGCCCCATTTTTTTTGCTAGCTTTGGACAGAGTGTAGAAAAAGGTTATACCTATGAGGAGGAGTTTAGTGCTTTGCCTCCACTAGGGTGTCTGCTGTCTCTGAGCCTATGAGGAGGGAGAGAGCTAAGAGAGACACTGTTCTCACGCACAGCACTGGATTGAGTTTGGGCTTAAAGTGGTTCTAAAGGCTTAAGGTTTTTTATCTTCATCTATTCTATGCATGGAGGTAAAAAAAAACAAAAACCTGTGTTACTTGAGCCCCTTCCAATCCTTACTTGAGCCTCTGCTGTCTGGAGACTCATCCCCCTCATTGGCTCCCGATGCTGTCAATCACTGTCAGTGAGCCAATGTGGAGAGAACGGGGGGGGGGGGGGGGGGGGGAACGGAGGTCGAGCCAGACTCTGTGTCTAATGGACGCACACAGCAGTTGCTCAGGGACGAGCATGCAGCAGTGCCCCCAGGGTGAGTGGCTCTCTTGGGGCACTGCTCACGGGGAAGAGCAAGGAGCACCAGCGGGGAACTGGAAAAAGGAGAAGATCAGGGCTGCTCTGTGCAAAACCACTGCACAGAGCAGGCAAGTATGGCATGTTTGTTATTTTAGAAAAAAAAAAAAATAAAAAAATATATATATATATATATATATATAAAGGAAGCTTTTGTGTCACTTTAAGAATGTATAAGGGGGTATTGCACGTACTAAGATTTATTGCCCTATTCAGAGGCAAATAGCATATATACCCTGTCCCAGGTGGCATGAGTCTCTCGCTCTGGAATCAGACTGGTGGGGAGCGAGCTGTGCACAAAGGAGACCCAGTAGCGCCAATATGGATCAATGCCGTGCCACAACAGGACGGGGAAAGCTCTTCTAGCGTAGTATGTGAAAGCTTTTTATTAAAACCGCATCAATAAAAACAAACAAAAGTTGGAAATACACGAACATTAAAAATAATAAAAAAACAGAAACACGGCTGCCTATCTCAGCAGCAGCATATGACAGCAACAGGCAACAACTCTGCCCTGTACAGGTTTAGTCTGAATGGACATCTTTAGTGGCATCAGACGAAACCTGTACAGGGCAGAGTTGGTGCCTGTTGCTGTCACATGCTGCTGCTGAGATAGGCAGCCGTGTTTCTGTATTTTTATTATTTTTAATGTTCGTGTATTTCCAGCTTTTGTTTGTTTTTATTGATGCGGTTTTAATAAAAAAAAAAAAGCTTTCACATACTACGCTATAAGAGCTTCTTTCCCTGTCCTGTTTGTTGTGGCAATGCACCGATATCAATTCATATCACCTATCAGATTGTAAGCTCCTAGGATCAGGCCCTCCTAACCCTCTTGTGTTGAACTGTATTGTCTCCCTTTATATTGTAAAGTGCTGAGCAAACTGTTGGCGCCATATAAATCCTGTATAATAATAATATAACCATGATGGACAATCTTCCCCAATCTTTTGGTTGGACACTTTCTTACTTTTGTGATACTTGTGTGGCACTATTGTATGCGTTTCAGGATTTATTTTATGACTGTGTATTTTAGGTTGCACATATTGTTTTTGTCTTGGATAGAGCGGAGTTATTTTTACACCGTCATCCTATCATCATTCCACTTTTAGGTGCTGTATTTGTCCTTGCATGCATCTCTGCAGGTGCCAACTACCTGTTAGTGCAGACTTCTTCGATAGTTACTTTAGGGGGGATTTACTAAAACTGGTGCACTCTGGTGCAGCTGTGCATGGCAGCCAATCAGCTTCTTCAATAAAACTTGGAAGCAGATCGCTCTCTATGCACCAGATTTTGCATTCTCCAGTTTTAGTAAATCTCCCCCTTTGAGTCTATATATGGACAATCTTTGCTGAACTTTTGATGGACACTTACAACCCCCCCCCCCCCCCCACACACACTTTTGTGATATCCGAGTTTGGTACTATTTTACGTGTTTCATTATTTGTTTTATCACAGTGTATTTTGGGTTGCCCATACTTTTTTATATATATATAGTTGAGTTATTTGCAAAATCCATCACCATCACCTTTTTACTTTTAGGTGCTGCATATACCCTTATCTGTTAGAAATTTGCATGCATCAAGTCCTTGCAAGTTGCCTCACTACCTATTAGCACAGACTCCAATAGTTACTTTAAGTATGGAGGGGGCTGGAGGAAAGACTGTACTCAGGGGTTTTTTTTCACCTTAATGCAGAGAATGCATTCAAGTGTTCCTAAACCCAGGCCCCTGCCTTTACTGTATCCGGTCTCCCCGGACCCCGCCTTTACTGTATCCGGTCTCCCCGGACCCCGCATTCCCTGTATCCGGTCTCCCCGGACACCGCATTCCCTGTATCCGGTCTCCCCGGACACCGCATTCCCTGTATCCGGTCTCCCCGGACACCGCATTCCCTGTATCCGGTCTCCCCGGACACCGCATTCCCTGTATCCGGTCTCCCCGGACACCGCATTCCCTGTATCCGGTCTCCCCGGACCCCGCATTCCTGTATCCGGTCTCCCCGGACCCCGCATTCCCTGTATCCGGTCTCCCCGGACCCCGCATTCCCTGTATCCGGTCTCCCCGGACCCCGCATTCCCTGTATCCGGTCTCCCCGGACCCCGCATTCCCTGTATCCGGTCTCCCCGGACCCCGCATTCCCTATATCCGGTCTCCCCGGACCCCGCATTCCCTATATCCGGTCTCCCCGGACCCCGCATTCACTATATCCTGTCTCCCCGGACCCCGCATTCCCTATATCCCGTCTCCCCGGACCCTGCATTCCCTATATCCGGTTTCCACGGACCCCGCATTCCCTATATCCGGTCTCCCCGGACCCTGCATTCACTATATCCACTCTCCCCGGACCCCGCATTCACTATATCCGGTCTCCCCAGACCCCGCATTCACTATATCTGGTCTCCCCCGGACCCTGCATTCACTATATCCGGTCTCCCCGGACCCTGCATTCACTATATCCGGTCTCCCGGACCCTGCATTCACTATATCCGGTCTCCCCGGACCCTGCATTCACTATATCAGGTTTCCCACAGTACACACAACATGGAAATGCAATTTTAGTAAATATAAAACTGCTAAAATACCTTTTCTCATCACCAGTATATAGCAGTCTTGTGACTTCTATCAACGTCTGGCTGAGCACTGGTTAAAATTTGTAGGAGGAGTTTTGATTCTCCCCTATGAGGCTGAATAACCCCTGACCCTCTGTCTGGACAGTGCCGATTGGCCTTGTTCTGATCACGCGCACTCTCCCAGAAACGAAAAAAAAAAAATTTAAAAAAACCCTCTCCAGCAATACACAACAAATTGAGCATGTGCAGTGTGACTCCTAGAGCTCTGTTCTATCAAGAGATGAGTTGGGGACAGGATAAATCTTTTTACATGATGCCGAAGATTAACCCCTTACTTTCCACAGCGAGTATCATAAGTATGCTTTACTGCATATACAGACTGATTTTACTGTTGTGGGTTTAGTAACACTTTAAATTGGTTCCAAAGGCTAAAAGGGACTTTTTTTTTTTTTTTTTTAAACAAAAAGAAAATGACACATGTGGCTTAAGCCTAAGTTAAAGCACTGAAAACTAACCTTGTGAAATGTACTATATTTTTAAACCCATTTAAAAAAAATCTTGCATATATAAAAAATACAATTTTAAAAAAGGGTAAAACCACAGGGGCGATGAGCTATATTTAGAAGGACTCTAACGAATGTGCAAAAATAATTAAACAAAAAGGATATTTGAATACAGCTGAACTTTATATAAACCCCTGGGAGACATCAGCCCAGGATATTGATGAAGAAAGCGGTGATGGATGATACAAATAACTGCTCTCCCTACCATCATCAATCCCGTCCCCTCACCTTCAAGCGATGGGTGCTGGAAGCGTCAGCGTGATGGATCACGTGTCGGCGGCTCTGGCTTCGGAGTCGCACGGATTACAGCGAGCCTTCGATAGATTATCTACTGGATTCACAACGTGTGTGTGTGTGTGTGTATGTGTGTGTATGTATGTATGTGTGTGTGTATGTAATTTTGCATTTCTGGGTAGGGGGCGCGCACACCCTACCTGCGCTGCCATTGGAGGCGGTCACTCACCAAGTCCCGACCCGCCGGCGCCCGGTGATTACCAAGAATCTCTGATTTGGGAGGAAGGCTGTTTTGTTGGGTACCAACCTGAAGGGCACAATAGCAGCTGTGCAGATTGTCCAGGCGTGGTCCAAAGATAAACTCTTCATAGGCTCCTCCTAGAGTCTGATACAAAAAGAGTAGAAATTCAGGAGAAGTGATGATTGGCCTATCCACACATCAGGTGATAAATAAAACCGTACTCATTCAGTACAGATCATATATACTGGACTGTAGGCGTTGCTTTGGCACCACCATACATCACAGGCAATACAGCACTGCCACAAGCATTAACAGCCTATTCACACTAAAGCGATCCATCGCAATGCGGTAATGTGTATTATGCCGCTCATTACCATGTGTTGTGTCAAGGCAGCCCAATCATTATGAATGGGCAACCGAAGCACCAACTCGGATGAAAAAATATCTGTTGCGGTGCATTGTACTCGACTGAACAATGAATAGTACTGCAACACACGGAGTGAGGGCACTGCCATGCACTGTGGAAACGCTCGCCATTTTGTTTAGTTGCTACAATGCACATTTATGAATGGGTCCCAAATGACATCCTTTTAACCTCCCTAGCGGTCTGATTATGTCAGTATTTCTGTGCTCAAAGCGATACTTTTTTTGCATGGAAATATGTATTTTTTTTTATTGTAGGCCTGTAATTTTTAGGAATAACTCACTGAAATCTGTCCAGACAAGAGTCTAGTAAACATCCCGGGTATGATAAAACTTGAAACACGAAATTATAAATTATAATTTAATAAATAATCATAAAAAAATATAATAATAAATTTAATTCAATAATATAATCAAACTAAAAATACTGAAATTTGAAATATAGCGCCAAGTCTGCACATCACTGAGCAAAGTCGCAGAATCGTTTTCAGTGTCTGATGATGAATTTCCCCCATGAATCATTATCACTCAATTCTGCAAGTGGTTCTGATTTACTATCGCTGTTTTCTCTAGCCGGTCTAAAACCGCTTTTGACCTAAAGGGACGCTTTTTGGACGCCATGGACGTTTCTCAGTTTCCAGGCAGAAAGAACAGTAAAAATGCAGGCAGGGCGCCGGACAAAGCACTCGGGACAAAATGTATGTGAAATGGTTTGATACAGGAATGTTATACTATGTGATTTTAGTGTATTTAGTGAATGTCACTTTTTGTCATTTTCAAATTTCCCGCCAGTTCCGTCCCCCGTACGTCCCGATGTCGCAGGGAAGGAAACCCAGATGACAGATGCCGGCATCCGCCGGATTACATTGCCTGGGACACTGCAGGAGGGACATCGTGGGAGCGCAGGACAAGGTAAGTGATCGAAGGATCGCGGATCAGCGCCACATGCTAAGCCCGAGTGTAGCTCGGGGTTACCGCTTGTGGTACTGAAACTTTACCCCGACCTACCCTCGGGAATACCGCCAAGGAGGTTAAAGAGCAACTCCATCTTTGTTGAGAGAAGGCAATCCCCTCTGGGTGCTCTATGTACATTGCAGGGATTTTAACTTTTTAGGGCTCATGTACACTGCAGCTGATAAACTGACGTATAGGAGCTTTTCTGCGTTTTTCTCAGCAGCACCTGAACTCTCCCTAATGTTTTCCTACGTGTCCATGTACACATCGTCAACAGTCAGTTTTTTTGAACGCACCAAACTTGTGTTCAGGAGTAGATTTTACCGGCGTTTCAAATCGCTTGTAAACGCGGTTAACTGAGTTTATAAGCGTTTGCGTTTGGAAGCTTTTAACTGTTCAATGTCCAGAGCCTTTTTTCATCATCAGAAATGCATGCAAAGTGTTTTCCATGTACTCAAAATAGACCCGGTATACCAGCGCAGTCAGTTCCAGCTTTCGTGTGAAGGAAAAAAAAATATGGTAGAACGTGCCGCATTATGCTCAGGATGGGATCCATAGTGAATACAACCAGAAAAGACAGGTCATCTCACAAATACTGCTCTCTCTGCTTTTGCTCTCAAAAAAAAATATCTGAAACAGCTAATTTTTTTTTTACTATTTTTCAGTGCATTCTGGGCATTTGGGAAGGTCTCCTGAGGATCTTTTAAAAATGCTTCTAAAAACGCAAAACACTCAAACGCGGTATGTAAATGCGGCTAAACAGACGTTTTCCAGCAGTCAGTTTCCATCATTCAGAAGAGTTTTGCAAATGCCCCGTGACCATGAGCCCTTAAAATTTGATACAGATTCCTATATTTTGTTGTTCTGAGGCAATATCCATTTTTTTGTGTGCAGAATGAATCTGAATGGGAGTGACATTTTCATTATTATTTAGCGGATTCACTTGCAGTGTCTTAATGAGAAAAAAGTTGCAGGGTCTGCACTCTTTTAGAAGGGACTATCCCTTTGGGAGACGCTCTCCAAAAATTACATTTATGTTGCAGAGGATGCCTAAATTTTAACTTGTATCTTAGTGCAGAGTTCTGGGAAACTCAGGGAACCAATCACACAAGCAGGAATTGACATTTCTGGGGACGTTCTGTACACAAACTTTGCACAGAATCTCCAGGTTGCCATATAGCATTGTTTTTTTTTTTGCAGATTGTTTTTTTTTTTTTTCCCTCACGAGAGTGGAGTGACCATATAAAGTCCAACTGAAGTCATGGGTCTTGATATTGCAGCAGTATTTTCACAGAAAAAAAAAGCCACAAAACCTGAAATGCAAAAAAATGGTACTATAAGAAAAATCCAATTTGCAGGATATCAGGATAGGCAGTGTCAATGTAGACCAGTACTGGACACCCAGGGGTTGATTTACTAAAGGACCTTGCAAAGTTCAGTTGCTCCAGAGCTTAGTAAATGAGGTAAAGCTTCGCACTTTGTAAAGAATATTCAATCACGTGCAAGGAAAATAAACAAACAAAAAAAACAAAAAAAAAACAAACAGCATTTTTGCTTGCATGTGATTGGACGATGGAAGTCAGCAGAGCTTCTGCTCACTTACTAAGCTCTGGAGCAACTGCTCTTGCAGAGTGCACAGTCTATTTGCCTTTAGTAAATCAACCCCCTGGTGCAGTCTAGTCGGTGCAGTCCCCGATTGGACACCCGGTGCAGTCCCCGATTGGACACCCGGTGCAGTCCCCGATTGGACACCCGGTGCAGTCCCCGATTGGACACCCGGTGCAGTCCCCGATTGGACACCCGGTGCAGTCCCCGATTGGACACCCGGTGCAGTCCCCGATTGGACACCCGGTGCAGTCCCCGATTGGACACCCGGTGCAGTCCCCGATTGGACACCCGGTGCAGTCCCCGATTGGACACCCGGTGCAGTCCCCGATTGGACACCCGGTGCAGTCCCCGATTGGACACCCGGTGCAGTCTGTGTGGTGCAGTGTCAAGCTTCTTTCCATCCAATCCCAATGACTTACCGCGGGTTGTGTGTCGGTCAGGCACAGATCCATTTCCAGGATGGATTCAGCTTTCACCCCGAGCCTTTCGCACAGCAAACTGAGCAGCAGAGAGTGATGGCGCTCCGTCTTATTCAGGAGACGAAAAAAAAAACACACACGTTTTATAAAGCAAATTACCTGGAGGATAAAGTCCTAATTTTAGTGTGTGATAAGCTACATTTTAAAAGTTTGGTTCGTACAGAGTGGAGAAGACTAAATCCAAAAACAATTGAATCTGGATTTGTTTCTGGAACTGATAGGGTCTCCATCAAGCCCCACTCTGGGCTGCTGGGGGGAGAGATAATATATATATATATATATATATACATATACACACACACAATACACACACACACACACACACACACATACATACATACATACATACACACACATATATATATACACACACATATATACACACATACATACATACACACACATACATACATACATATATAGAACATACATACATACTTTCACCCCATCCAACACTATATGGGCTAAAATGACACTAAACCACATTCTTCTCCAAAAATAACTCATACACCCACTACTTCATGGCCCTGTAATCCATTTTTCATGAAATAACTTCTGGGTTTTTCCTGTGTCTTTGCAATGTCCTCCATAAGCTCCCGAACCCTTCCCCCCCCCCCCCCACTGTCATTTGTTTCGCACAAGAAGTGCATGTTGGTTGTGGTCATGTGCACTGCTCTATAGACATTAAAAATCCCATAGTCCATCTCGGGAGGAAGCAAGAGAGGGTGGCTACATTGCTACCAAAGTAGCCACACTCTTACAGGATGTCAGAGCACAGTAACAAAAAAGGCATGCAAGGGAGGCAGAGAGCAATAGAAAGGACTTTTTGGCGTTTAAAAAAAAAAAAAAAAAAAAATAGATTAGTATCACTTTAAATGCTTGTTTTTGTCTAGGGGAGAATAAAGCTGAATTACTTCAGTTATTCCTTGGTCCTGTAGGCTTCCTCTACATTGGACAACTAATCCCTTGCAGACTTTTTGCCACTTGCAGCTCTGATGTCTGTACCATACAATGCAGGAGTTGCAGTCCTGCACTGTACATGAGGATGCCAAGGGCCCGCATCTCACATCTCAGGAGCATCAAGAGCCAAGAAGAGTACAAGCTACCAGGGGAGCGAAGTGTAATTTTTGTTTTTTTTCCTCCCCCCCCAAAGTCTGTACTTCTTTAGCCATGATTCACTCCGCTGTGACTTCAGGTGCCACATGAGATTTACAAATCGCATATTTTATTTTATTTGTTTATTTCAGGTACTTATATAGCGCCGTCAATTTGCACAGCGCTTTACATATAGATTGTACATTCACATCAGTCCCTAACCCTCAAGGGGCATACAATCTAAGGTCCCTAACTCACATTCATACATACACATACTAGGGGCCAATTTAGACAAGAGCCAATTAACCTACCAGCATGTCTTTGGAGAGTGGAACCGGAGTACCTGGAGGAAACCCACGCAGACACAGGGAGAACATGCAAACTCCAGGCAGGGTGTGCCGTGGTCGGGATTTGAACCAGCAACCCTAGTACTGCCAGGCGGAAGTGCTAACCATTTAGCCACTGTGCTGCATATGAAGTCACATCTAATGCGTTTCTTGGCACGGTCTTAATAGGTGCGATATCAAGTAGCTCAAGCATGACTTTCACCACTTCAGTGTAATTTAACCCTCATATACTAAGGTAAATGGCGCTGAAATCGCACCTGTGTCTAAATCAGCACTTCTTTGAAGTAGCACTTCAAATGGGACCAAATCACACCACTTTGAAATCGCATTTGGTGTGAACGAAAAACTTAGAGTTAGAATGGGAAGTTCGATCAAATGGCCAACCATAGCGCTTAGAAATATGGAAATTTTTCGTAACTCAATTGTGCTACTAAAATTGTTAATTGCTATAACAATTAACTCAATTATTAGATGGAACAAATGGCACCCTTAGGAGTGGGTTACAGTAGGATCTTGTAATCGTTTTCACATGATTAGAGCAATTCCCAGATAAATAGAAGGACAGCACAGTGGCTAAGTGGTTAGCACTCTCACCTGTCAGCACTAGTCATTGGTTCGAATCCCAGCCACGGCACCACCTGCCTGGAGTTTGCATGTTCTCTCTGTGCCTGCGAGGGTTTCCTCCAGGTACTCCGGTTTCCTCCTACACTCCAAAGACATGCTGGTAGGTTAACTGGCTCCTGTCTAAAATGGCCCCAGTATGTGTATGTATGAATGCACATTAGTTAGGGATCTTAGACTGTACGCCCCTTGATGGTTAGGGACTGATGTGACTGTGCAATATATATGTAAAGCGCTGTGTAAATTGACAGTGCTATTTAACCTCTTGGCCGTACGCAAATGTGCGGCCTCCCAGCGTCTGGGCCTAGACACCGAGTGGCTGGCTGCACATTTGCATTATAACAACAAAACAAAAAAAATAATATATTTATTTCTGAGAGCGCGCGCCCAGCACACGTGTTTGGTACTCACGGAAAGGTCCCGATCTCCTCTTTTTGATCTGGACCTTTCCCAATCATGTGACCACCGTGACAGCGAATAACAGTCACATGACTAAAAACCCCGCCCCGCCTCCTGGAACCCTGAAAGGGCCAGGAGGCGCCGGCGCCAAGGGGTTAAGTAATAAACAAGTTATTCATTCTTACATTCTTGGTTTTTTTTTTTTGGCTGGGGTAGGGAATGGGTCAGTCCTTTCCCACTAGTCAAGGAAAGCATTTCCCCATGTAAACCAATCTAATTCTGATAGGACTTAAATCTACAGTTTTTGGAATAACCCTTAAATGAAGCAGTCTGGTGATTCATACTATTCCTTTCTGTGAAATATATTTGTTTGAAATTCCCAGTCAGGGTTCCCATCAGACTCAAAGTCTTTACTTCTGCTGCTGCAATTGGGATTACACGTGCCATTTCCATGTACACTAGTGGCAACAATGATCTACATATACTAGATTACAGATGGGCAGCCTCACCGGGTTTTGGGTCCCCGTAGTGGAGCGGCAGGATGACCCAGAATCCATGGGTTCCTTTTCCAGACCTTCTTGTATGGAGGAAGCCAGGATCGGAAGCCTGTAGCAGGAAGTATTGAAATTATGAATCTCACGTATGAACAGCGGAATCTGCACAGGCTCCAACTTTACTCACAGGTGCTGCTCCGTATTGGGTCCAAAACTTTCATTAATGTTCCTCTGAAGGTGAATTGCAAGGTGAGGGATGCGCAGGATTGGGCGCTCCACGTAAACCAGGCGTGCTGCAGCCGGTGCCCTTCCTGAGAAAGACACAAGAGGTGATGTTCCCTTGGAAAGATAGTGTCAGTCAGTAGAGACCAAAAAGCAATATGAGACACCTAGATATCACACAATGTCTTATTCCCCTGTCCTACTGACCGAACAGATACATTGGTTTTAATATACTGTGCATATGGCAGCCAAGACTGGTTGCCAACGTTCAGCCCTTTGGTACTTTGTGTGGCTCTTGGACCCCAACAATCAGCAATGGTGATATTGATTTGTAAAGGGGCATCGATCACAGTGCATTATGTATTCCATCTTCAACCACACCCATAGCATGTCCCCAGTCTGTGACCAATTTCTTCTAGTAAGTCCTCAGTCTCTGACAGTGTACTGTAGTCTTAGCTAGTAGTACATTTGACGGAACTTGTTCTGTAATACTTAAGATGTTTTTTAGCTTCTTCAAGCCACTTCAACAAGTTTCAGGAAGATACCCCAACATTTATATCCACAAAAAGGTAGCACCAACACCTTAATCCATCCTCTGAAAATGTGTAGATGTGATTGTCCAAGAACAGGATGGGAGGTGTGAATGTTGTGGAATTACTATTCTAGTTCTACAAGCCCATTCTCAGTGTCAAGAAGTCTACACAAGCCCATCCTCAGTGTCAAGAAGTCTAAATATGTGTTAATTCCTCAAGCATAATGGCTAAAAGTGTGAATTGTTGTCAATCTCCAGGGTAGAAATGTTGAAACGGCACTATTTGTCAGAGACAGTAGGTATTGAAGGTCCCCACTTGGGTTCTAGCTTGACGTAGATGGATTCTTTCATGCCTGTGCACATTGCAAACCATTTGTGCGGTCTAAAATATGCACTTCACTGTCCTCAATGTTCTTGGAGGATCAAGATCTACCACATTCCATGGTGATTGCAATAAGGTATCTGTGCTACCTCGGTATGTAAATGTTAGGGTATGTTCCTCAAATGCATTAGAATTGAAGTGGCTTGGACAGCTAAGAAACGTCTTCAATATTACAAAACAGGTCCACTGAAAGTGACCAAATACTACTACTAGATGTACTCTACCATAACCTGGAGAGAGGCTCTCAACCTTTTTACCCCAGAGGAACCCCCAAAATAATGAGGTCTTGAGGAACCCTTCTAAAAGCAAGTCTTTGTGGTACAATGGGTCAAAAAAAAAAAAAAAAAAAACTTACATTGGTGATCAGTAGGAAGAATGCCTCCTTACATTGGTGGTCTGTATGAACGATATCACCCTTACAGACAACTAAAATAGATCATTGATGTCATGCTGCTGCCACTGCCAAGCAGTGTTGGCCCTGGAACTATGCAGGCACCATCAAATAGGAGGTCACTCAGTAAAAACCCAAGGCACCCCTGGTAAGCTCTTGAATTCTAGGGTGCCACGGAACCCTGGTAAAGAATAGCTGTTCTATAGCATTACATATACAGAGCATTATGTCCAATCCCTTGGTGATGAGGGCTGTAGTTGAGGTCCACATGATACCTGTCTTGAGGCCAGGCACTAAAATTCAAACAACTGCTAAGAGGGCCAATGCCACATATTGATAATATTGGCACAGTACTCACAAACATCCAATAGGAATATTCTAATCCTAACCCCCCCCCCCACTAATTGGTTGCACCCAATCAGAAGCCACATTCATTAGTCCCTGGTCCTCAACATTTGTCCTCAAAGCCAATCCATGTCTAACAAACAATGTTACGGGTTTGCTAAACATTTCAAAGGCTTTTGGTTAGCATTTCCCCCGCATTCCTTGTAAAAATATACAAGATAAAAATATTACCTGCTATCCAGTCATTCTTTTGATACAAGAGGTGTAAAAGATAATAATGAAGACCTTAATATAAATAATGAATATTCTAAGAAGGGGCAGGAAATGTTTGAGATTGCCTTGGTAATGCCCAACTTAATCTTCTGAGAGTATCAATTAAAATGTATGTACGCTCTTAACAGTGAACTTCCCCTATTTGCTCCTTTTTGGCCTGTACAGATACAATTCCAGGTATGGCAATTTTTCTATAGTTACATTGGTCCAGCTTGGAGCAGTTTAAGTCTGTATTTGCCATACCTGCAGGATCCCCGTTGAAGCTGGAAATCACTGAAGTACACAACGCTACTACAATGATCTCCACTAGCCTTTGGGTCTTATGTTGAGTGCATGCCCTGCTGCACTGTGAACACAGGAGGTCGCTTGCTCAGCACCTGCTCCAGAGCAGAGCAGAACAGCAGAGCAGGAGAAGAAGAGCCGAGGAGAGAAGAAGAGCCGAGGAGAGAAGAAGAGCCGAGGAGAGAAGAAGAGCCGAGGAGAGAAGAAAAGCCGAGGAGAGAAGAAGCCGAGGAGAGAAGAAAAGCCGAGGAGAGAAGAAGAGCCGAGGAGAGAAGAAGAGCCGAGGAGAGAAGAAGAGCCGAGGAGAGAAGAAGAGCCGAGGAGGAGAAGAAGAGCCGAGGAGGAGAAGAAGAGCCGAGGAGGAGTAGAAGAGCCGAGGAGGAGTAGAAGAGCCGAGGAGGAGTAGAAGAGCCGAGGAGGAGAAGAAGAGCCGAGGAGAAGAAGAGCCGAGGAGGAGTAGAAGAGCCGAGGAGGAGTAGAAGAGCCGAGGAGGAGAAGAAGAGCCGAGGAGGAGAAGAAGAGCCGAGGAGGAGAAGAAGAGCCGAGGAGGAGAAGAAGAGCCGAGGAGGAGAAGAAGAGCCGAGGAGGAGAAGAAGAGCCGAGGAGGAGAAGAAGAGCCGAGGAGGAAGAAGAAGAGCCGAGGAGAAGAAGAAGAGCCGAGGAGAAGTAGAAGAGCCGAGGAGAAGAAGAAGAGAAGGAGAGAAGAAGAGCGAGGAGAAGTAGAAGAGCCGAGGAGAAGAAGAAGAGCCGAGGAGAAGAAGAAGAGCCGAGGAGAAGTAGAAGAGCCGAGGAGAAGTAGAAGAGCCGAGGAGAAGAAGAAGAGCCGAGGAGAAGAAGAAGAGCCGAGGAGAAGTAGAAGAGCCGAGGAGAAGTAGAAGAGCCGAGGAGAAGAAGAAGAGCCGAGGAGAAGAAGAAGAGCCGAGGAGAGAGTAGAGAGCGAGAAGAAGAAGAGCCGAGGAGGAGAAGAAGAGCCGAGGAGGAGAAGAAGAGCCGAGGAGGAGAAGAAGAGCCGAGGAGGAGAAGAAGAGCCAGGAGGAGAAGAAGAGAGCAGGGAGAAGAGAAGCAGAGGAGAAGAAGAAGAGCAGAGGAGAAGAAGAAGAGCAGAGGAGAAGAAGAAGAGCAGAGGAGAAGAAGAAGAGCAGAGGAGAAGAAGAAGAGCAGAGGAGAAGAAGAAGAGCAGAGGAGAAGAAGAAGAGCAGAGGTGTCCCGTAGTCCTGCCCCAAGGCCCACCACTGCTTCTTCATAGATACAAATATAGAAGATCACCGCACAGTTTCACCGTTTGCATTGGCGATAAAACAAGGTTAGACATCCACTCACCTTAACGATCACTCTCCCTGCCACTGTCAGATCCCGGTCAAACCATGTGCTCCAGATTCCTCCACCGTAGCACTCCACCCCAACCTGAATGTAGCCAGCTTGACCACGAGTCGACCTGCGTTTTACCTGCATTCAGAAAAAGCCACAAAGAAAACTCATGGGATGGCTGAAAACACACAGATAGGACAGCAGTCCACTGACCCAGAGAGATCTTCTTACCCTCAGGCACGGGCTGTCCGTGTGGGCTCCAAGGATGGTAAATCCGTTTCCATGCTGGTAATGCCCTCCCCACGGCAAAGGCCACCAAAGTGGAATAATTGCGGGTTACAAAGTACTAAAAAAGGAGATTTGGAGAGAGTAAATAAATTGCAGCAATGTGCCTGATGTTCCAGGTTCTGGGGCAGAGCTCATACCTTGTGGTTGGGTTTGATGTCCCAGTGTTCAGTTTCCTTCAGCTCCTGGAATCCGGCCTGAAGAAGACGATTCTTACACTCCTCAACCACTGGAGAGGAAGACAATGAGTTCTATAAATTATTATTCAACTACTATGCAGCCCAGGGATAGCAATGACTGCAGCATCTTCACCTGTATGAGCAAAATCAGCATAATAAACATTAAAGCAGAATTCTGGCCTCCCCTTCAGTCTTGCACAGTTGTAGCGGCTCCTCTCCTGGACTGAAATGGCTTCCTCTGATTTCACTGCACACTGTGAGCCTCTCGCAATGTGCATTAGAAACTGCAACAAATTAGAGCCCACCTCATTTCCTAGCTGGAGGACGTCCTGCATCATCTAGCGCTTTCCTCCCCAGCCTGTCCCTGGCCTGCCCCTTTCATTCATTGGACTTCAGATCTCTCAATCATAGACGCTCAAAAATCAAATGTGGAGAGCAAAACAAGTCTGACTGTATGGAGCTGCAGTGACAAGTTTGCACAAAATGGTCTCCTAAGGGCAGGGGAGGACTGACAATTCATGGGGCCCCTGGGCAATAGGGGATCATGGGGCCCCTGTGTCCTTGCCCAAACTCAAAAAAGCCTATGAGAAAGGTACCAGGGGCATCTCATGGGGCCCCCTACTGACCCCGGGCCCTCGGCAGTGCCCGAGTTTCCAAATGGTCACTCCGCCCCTGCCTAAGGGGGGCAAGAGAGTGTGACCTTCTGTAATGTAAGAGGTCCAGGACTTAAGGTGAGAGCACATGTGGTGGAAGATAGATACATATAAAGTGTGGATTAATACTGGGGTGGATCATTGGGTCTATGCACTGATCAGCCATAACATTCTAACCACTGTTAAGTAAAGTTAAGTAACAAGGATTATCTGGTGACAATGGCATCTGAAAGGGAGTGAGACATAATAGGCAGCAAGTGAACATGTTGTCCCTGAAGTTGTGTTGAAAGCAGAAAAAAAAAAAAATGTGCAAGTGTAAGGAATTGGGTGACTGTGAGGAGGGCCAAATTGTAATGTCTAGATGACTGGGAGACAGAGAGTATCTCCAAAACTGCAGCTCTTGTGGGATGTTCCTGGTCTGCAGTGGTCAGGACTAACCAAAAGTGGTCCAAGGAAGGAAAACTGATGAACCGGTGACAGGGTCATGGGCGGTTATGGTAGGCTGGTCCATATAGTCCAATCCAATAGAAGATCTACTGGAGCTCAAATTGCTGAAAAAAAGTTAATGCTGGTTCTGATCGAAAGGTGTCAGAACACACAAGTCCTGACAGTGGTCAGGGTGCCCATGCTGACCCGTGTCCACAGCCAAGCATCTACAATGGACACATGAGCATCAGAACCATCCAATCTGATCCATGGAAGCCCCACCTTACAGGACTTAAAGCGGAGCTCCACCCAAAAGGGGAAGTTCCGCTTTAAGGACTGCTCCCCCGATCTCCATCAAGGATTGACACCTTTGGGGAGCCGGTCCCCCCGAATTTGGCAGGTACCCGCTCCCACTTCTGGTGGGCCTAGGCGATCGGAAACGGAAGGTGTCCTCCCTCCCCATAGTCTTTTGGGACACGGGACAGGTCCCAGAAGACTACAGGACCATTCATGAAGTGCAGCGCTTCTCGCACATGCGCAGTGGGTACCCGGCTGTGAAGCCGCAAGCTATCACAGCCGGGTGCCCACAGTGAAGATTCCGGCCTCCTGGAATACAAGACGGCAAGTGAAACGGGCTGCGGGAGACACACCACGGGACCGAGGGACAGATAAGTGGCTGTTTTTTTTAAAAGTCAGCAGCTACCGTTTTTGTAGCTGCTGACTTATTTTTTGATAGGTCGAGTGGAACTCTGCTTTAAAGGATCTGCTACTGACGGCTTGGTGCCAGAGACCACAGCGTACCTTCAGAGCTCCATGCCTCAACAGGTTATGGTGGGTGGTCATAATGTTATGGCTGCTTGGTGTATGGCAGGGGCGGACTGACGATTTGGAAACTCGGGCACTGCCTGAGGGCCCGGGGTCAGTAGGGGGCCCCATGAGATGCCCCCGGTACCTTTTTCATAGGCTTTTATGAATTCGGGAAAGTACACAGGGGCCCCATGATCTCCTATTACCCGGGGGCCCCATGAGTTGTCAGTCTGCCCCTGGTGTATGGTGAAGATTCGCACAGAAGATTTTTCAACTGTATAATGAGCAAATCGGTCGTTTACCGTTTATGGGTGGACTTTGTACAGCAGTTTTCAGCGGATATGCTATGCAGTGATTGATTGCAGTTTTTCATGGATTGGGGATTTGTCAGTAATAGTGGTGTATTTTTTTTTTCTAATGGCACTAGTATAACATTTTGATGAGAATATCTCCCATATACACATGATCTAATCTTTATATTTAATCCATTTGTTTTGAGATTTGAGATGTTGCATTTTTTATAGTTTCATTAAATGTTCTCTATGGAGTCATTTACAGCGTTGTACACCCTGCATTCTTTCCACAACCCAAAAAACAAACATTTTGCTAGGATTTGCGTTTTATCCGAGTGCTTCTTGCATGACACTCAACAGTTAAAGGGGGTTTATGTATAAAAGATTCATTGTGTGGAGAACAAAACGGAGGAGAAAATTACCATACAGGCGTACCTCGGTTTACAAACTCCTTGGTAAACAATTTTCAGTTTACAAATGAAAATCCATTGAAAATAATGGCTCGGTTTACAAATTTTTTTTTTTCGCAATACGAACGGATTAATTGGTTTTCAATTTTTTTTAGTCATGTCCCTGTACAGTACTATGCCCTTAAAGTGCACTTTATAAAGAGCTTTCAACAGATAAGACTTGACTTTCTGACCTCCGGAACGGATCAATTGGTTTTCAATGCATTTATGAATTTTTAAATAATGTCCCTGTACAGTTTTTTATGCCTTTAAAGTGCACTTTATAAAGCTTTTTGAACAGATAAAAAGACTTTTTTCTGACCTCCGGAACGGATTAATTGGTATTCAATGCATTCCTATGGGAAACTGCTTTTTGGTTTACAAATTTTTCGCAATTAGAAAAAATCCCGCAGAACGAATTAAATTCGTAAACCAAGGTATGCCTGTACTTCCTCTATTACGGGATTCCTATATCCTACAAAAAAAATAAATTTATATATATATATATATATATATATATATATATATTTTTTTTTTTTTTTATATTAAAGTTTTGTGGCCATTAGATGGTGCTGATCATATAGGAATTGTACACAATAGAGGAGGTAATTCAATGCTCGCCCTGATTGTCACGTCTGCACAACCATGATTTTATGTATTATTTATTTCAGGTACTTATATAGTGCTATCAATTTCCGCAGCGCTTTACATATCTATTGTACATTCACATCCGTCCCTAACAGGGGCGCACTGACAACTCATGGGGCCCCCGGGCAATAGGGGATCATGGGGCCCCTGTGTCCTTGCCCAAACTCAAAAAAGCCTATGAAAACGGTACCAAGGGCATCTCATGGGGCCCCCTACTGACCCCGGGCCCTCGGGCAGTGCCCGAGTTTCCAAATGGTCAGTCTGCCCCTGGTCCCTAACCCTCAAGGGGCGTACAATCTAAGGTCCCTAACTCACATTCATACATACACATACTAGGGACAATTTAGACAGGATCCAATTAACCTACCAGCATGTCTTTGGAGTGTGGGAGGAAACCGGAGCACCTGGAGGAAACCCACGCAAGCACAGGGAGAACATGCAAACTCCATGCAGGAGGTGCCATTGGTCGGGAATCGAACCCATGACCCATTTACTGCAAGGCAGACGTGCTAACCACTAAGCCGCTGTGCCGCCCATGATATGTATAGTCCCCAAAGTGTCATTCCAGCCAATAAATAAACCCTCCTTTGTGTTGTTGCCACAAAATATACAAATATGTTACGGTTTTGTTTTAATTTTTTTTTTTTCCTTTTACTAGCCTTACATTATATGCAGGGTGGATAAAAATCAATGTTTTAAAAAAAAAAAAAAAAAAAAAAAAAAAAAAAAAAAAATCGGATTTTTTTTTATTTAAATAGAATTTTTTTTAAATAAAATGCTTGAGGAAAATATATTACCATCCAAAGGTTATTCCATCATGAAATAAAGATTAGTTTTTTAATTATGTAGAATAAGGCTGTATATGTTTAATTTTTTTGGTAAATAAATTCCATGAATCCATTCACAATGTCATGCTCTTCCAGAGGTTTTTGTAAGATTATTGGGCAGTTTCTCTGCCTACAAGATATTATCACAGATGTTGGTTTACTTTTTGCAGTTCTCAAAACTGAATTTGACTCAGCGGAGATCACATGCCTCTTCTTCACAGCAAAAATGTTATACCGTATATGCCGGCGTATAAGACGACTTTTTTGCCCTTAAAAACATGCCTCCAAGTGGGGGGGGTCGTCTTATACGCCGGGTGCACTTCAGTTGGGATAAACATAGCTGCCATAGTGGCCTCCCGATGCCCCGCCCGCCCACCTCATTCTACATACCAGCCGCGGCGGGTCATCAGTGTGGCTGCGGCGAGCATCAGCAGCGATACAGGGGTGCCAGCCTTTTCGGCGTGACTGGCCCGTTCTGCTCGGCGGGAAGCAGCGGCACTCCGGCCCGCCCCTTGTCTACTCAGAGCTCGCGCATGCGGACTTGCGCACTAGTGCCAATTACAGGGAGATGCAGGGACATGGAGACAGGGAGGGCAGACAGGGAGCAGGGACCAATCCAATCAGGCTTTGTATACAGCCAACCACAGTACTGCTGCACCATTGTACAGTACAATACAGCATAGAAAATGTCCAGCAGTCAAAGCCCTATCAACCCTATCATGGCACCAGCAAAAAGAAAGAGGGGGTAGTCTTATACGGCGAGTATATAACAAACTCTATATTTTGAGTGGAAATGTTGGGGGTCGTCTTATACGCCGGCAAATACGGTAACATGAACAGAGTTAAGAAAAAGACCTTCATCCTAACTTCTACAAACCTATGAATACAGAATCAACCCCTTCACTGCTAAGTTTCAAGAAGTTCAGTGAATAGAATAGAAACAATATTTTTCTGATTGTTTGGAGTGGAATAGATCTGCACAAGAAGAAAGTGAAACTAAGTGTGAGGAGGAAGGGGCTGACAGTCTAAGTTTCTTAAAATATATATATTTTGTTTAGCCAAATTAGTTACCAAACATGGATGTTGAAGCAAATCACATATGCTGGAATGTTATTGTTTCAGATGAATAAATCTATTTAAATTGTTATTATTAAGGTGATGATTATTTTTCTCCTTCCTAAGTACAACAGAAAAGTTGTCCAAATATGAATGATTAACCTATTAAACTGGGGATAAAAAAACTAATATGAAAAGTTGTTATTCTAAAAATCTTCATCTACTTGTATATTAAAGTTATACCAGCAAGAATTAGTCTTTATGTAGAAAACTAGGATTTAAATCAAGCCTTACTGACTAGTGATTTAAATCGTGATTTAAATCAGTTTGATTTAAATCAAATCCACCCTGATTATATGAATGCATTCAGCTGAATAAGACCATATTTCCTGTGCTGGGCTGACAATGTGATTCAGCCACTAGGCAAAATCCCCACAGCTTTGTGGCACCTGGAAGCAGTCTAGCATGCATGCACAGTTAGCCCTGGTTCACACGGTCTTGAGGGATGCGTTTTGCGCGGGCATGAGAGCTCATTCATTTGATGGATTCCCATGCCCTGTGGACACGGAGGGAAGGAGTCCTCAGTTCCCAGCACGGTTGCGTTTTCCAGTGCGTGCGCCGTGCCATTAGAACTAATGGCACCCGCCCGCGGGTCCGCATTCCTCTGTGCGGGTGGTACAGCTGCACGGATTTTCGTTCGGATCCGCAGCGGCACCACCCGCACAGATGTGAACCAAGCCTTAGTCCTCATGCACACTGGACGTTTTTATGGCGGCTGTTTTTGGCGGGTTTTTTTCCTACAGCCAATAAACCCCCCAGCATGTTCTCCTATGTGTCCATGCACCAGACTGTAATCAGCTTTTTTTTGGCAGGGGCGTTTTATTTGGCTGGAGAAAACCCAGGACTAGTGGGTTTCTAAAGGAATTTATTTTTAGCTGTAAAAACGCTCTAACGCAGCAAAACAGCATTTTTAGATTTTGTGAGAAAAAAAAAAAAAGCCACTAAACTAATACAAAACCGCTAAAAAAAAAAAACCTCACTGTTTTAACGTGACTTTACACAGTTAACGTGATAAGCGTTATAAAACCGCCCCGTGTGCATGGAGCCTTAGAGCGTGACTGGCAGCTCACATGCAGTTAGTGACGTAGGCTTTGACCTGTGCATAGACTCCCTCTAGTGCACTGTTAGTATGACTGGCAGCTCCCTCTAGTACAGTGGTTCTCAACCTGTGGGTCGTGACCCCTTTGGGGTTCGAACGACCCTTCCACAGGGGTCATCTAAGACTATTGGAAAACACATATTTCCGATGTGTAAAGAGCAGCTACTGTGTTGGAAGCAGCTACTGTGTTGAAAGCAGCTACTGTGTTGAAAGCAGCTACTGTGTTGAAAGCAGCTACTGTGTTGAAAGCAGCTACTGTGTTGAAAGCAGCTACTGTGTTGAAAGCAGCTACTGTGTTGAAAGCAGCTACTGTGTTGAAAGCAGCTACTGTGTTGAAAGCAGCTACTGTGTTGAAAGCAGCTACTGTGTTGAAAAAGCAGCTACTGTGTTGAAAGCAGCTACTGTGTTGAAAGCAGCTACTGTGTTGAAAGCAGCTACTGTGTTGAAAGCAGCTACTGTGTTGAAAGCAGCTACTGTGTTGAAAGCAGCTACTGTGTTGAAAGCAGCTACTGGGTTGAAAGCAGCTACTGGGTTGAAAGCAGCTACTGTGTTGAAAGCAGCTACTGTGTTAAAAGCAGCAGTATTGAAGGTAAAATGACACTCATGAATTATAATTACTGGATAAATAATTTTATGGTTGGGGGGTCACCACAACATGAGGAACTGTATGAAAGGGTCACGGCATTAGGAAGGTTGGGAACCACTGCTCTAGTAGGTATGTGGGGTGATGGTTTCATAAGCTCTGAGAGCGGCACAGTGGCTTAGTGGTTAGCACGTCTGCCTTGCAGTAAATGGGTCATGGGTTCGATTCCCAACCATGGCGCCTCCTGCCTGGAGTTTGCATGTTCTCCCTGTGTTTGCGTGGGTTTCCTCCAGGTGCTCCGGTTTCCTCCCACACTCCAAAGATATGCTGGTAGGTTAAATGGATCCTGTCTAAATTGGCCCTAGTATGTGTATGTATGAATGTAAGTTAGGGACCTTAGATTGTACGCCCCTTGAGGGTTAGGGAATGTGTAAAGCGCTGCGTAAATTGACAGCGGTATATAAGTACCATAAATAAATAAATCTAGTGCACATGTGCAGTTATTGCATCAGTCTCCAGGATGTGTTGGCTCCCTCTACTGACAGGTTTAGGCTCCCACTACTGCATGTCTGCTTTCTGTCCTCCTTTAGTGCACAAGCATCAGTCCCCTTGCAAATCTCTGCCCACCACTGGAAGAGAAAAAGGACCATCATGGAGGTTTAGCGGTCACATGATTGCAGAGAAAAAAGTAAAAAATGCCAAACACTTTTTTTTTTTTATTAGTGTTTGGCATTTTTTACTTTTCTTTTTTTAATTCTCTCTTTGCAATCATGTGACCGCTAAACCTCCATGATGGTCCTTTTTCTCTTCCGGTGATGGGCAGAGATTTGCAAGGGGACTGATGCTTGTGCACTAAAGGAGGACAGAAAGCAGAAATACTACTTCTCCTAGGTTTGATCCGCTGAGATTTAAAGCAGACGTTTCGGCAATATCCAATCAATGGCTCAAGTGGTCTCTATATTATATGTTCACTATCTGCTGTTTAATTTAAAAATAAAAAAAAAAAAAGTAAAAAATGCCAAACACTAATAAAAAAAAAAAAAAAAAAGTGGTTTGCATTTTTTACTTTTTTTTTTTTTTTTAAATTAAACAGCAGATAGTGAACATATAATATAGAGACCACTTGAGCCATTGATTGGATATTGCTGAAACGTCTGCTTTAAATCTCAGCGGATCAAACCTAGGAGAAGTAGTATGTGTCTCTCATCTTATCTCTCAGATTGGTCTTCACTGAAGTCCGTACAAAGTCCATATCTATGCTTCAGAATAAGGACTTCAGCCTCAGAGCAAAGGGCAAGTTCTCCCCATAAGAAGCACAGGACACCATGTGAGAGGGCTGATGGACATGGAGCACAATCCAAGGACAATGTGCTACAATCAGTCCGATCTCATAGTAGATCTCAGATGACCATTCTCCAGACTACGTCTATCGGTGACCACCATGAAAGGCACCCTGGGCTCAATTCGTTTACTTATGGAAAGTAGACTTCAGGGGCGGACTGACAACTCATGGGGCCCCCAGGCAATAGGGGATCGTGGGGCCCCCGGGCAATAGGGGATCATGGGGCCCCTGTGTCCTTGCCCAAACTCAAAAAAGCCTATGAAATAGGTACCAGGGGCATCTCATGGGGCCCCCTACTGACCCCGGGCCCTCGGGCAGTGCCCGAGTTTCCAAATGGTCAGTCCGCCCCTGGTAGACTTTCATCCTAAACTGCTGACACTGACCTGCCTCCTCCTCTCCCTCTCTCACAACTGGGACAGAAAAAGATAACAATTTTTTTTTTTTAATTTTAAAGGGTAACTGCACTTTCATGGAAACAATAGCAGCAAAAAAATAAATAAAAAAAAAGTATATTTTATATATATTGCCATTTTGTTTCCATGAAAGTGCAGTTATCCTTTAAAATTAAAGAAAATCAAAATTTATGCAGATCTGTTCCTTGCCAGCAGAGGTTATATGCATGTAACTTCAGCTGGCAAGGAACAGATCTGCATGTAACTTCAGCTGGCAAGGAACAGATCTGTATATAACTTCCGCCGGCAACCAGGAACAGATCTGCATGTAACTGTTTTTGCCGGCAAGGAACAGATCTGTATATAACTTCCGCCGGCAAGGAACAGATCTGCATGTAACTTTTGCCGGCAAGGAACAGATCTGCATGTAACTTCCGCCGGCAAGGAACAGATCTGCATGTAACTTCCGCCGGCAAGGAACAGATCTGCATACAACTTCAGCTGGCAGGAACAGATCTGCATGTAACTTCCGCTGGCAAGGAACAGATCTGCATGTAACTTCCGCCGGCAAGGAACAGATCTGCATGTAACTTCCGCCGGCAAGGAACAGATCTGCATGTAACTTCCGCCGGCAAGGAACAGATCTGCATATAACTTCAGCTGGCAAGGAACAGACTTCTGCATGTAACTTCAGCTGGCAAGGAACAGATCTGCATGTAACTTCCGCTGGCAAGGAACAGATCTGCATATAACTTCCGCCGGCAAGGAACAGATCTGCATACAACTTCCGCCGGCAAGGAACAGATCTGCATATAACTTCCGCTGGCAAGGAACAGATCTGCATATAACTTCCGCTGGCAAGGAACAGATCTGCATATAACTTCCGCTGGCAAGGAACAGATCTGCATATATAACTTCCGCTGGCAAGGAACAGATCTGCATATAACTTCCGCCGGCAAGGAACAGATCTGCATGTAACTTCCGCTGCGTTTATCTCTGAAAGTACAGATGGCTCGGAAATGAAGCATCCTCTGTTTTCCGGCTGCCATCTATTGCATTGTACTCAGGTCTGTGGGCTACATACCCCCCTACCACCTTTTTATAGAGGCAAGGAGAGAGTGAGGGGTTCTGTAGTCCCGGCACTCTGTTCTTGGGTGACAACACTGCTCCTAAATTGATACTGTACATTTAGCGTTGTCACCCTAAGACAAAGTATCTTACTGGCAGGATCAGCAGGTGAAAAGGAAAAAAAGATTGAAAAAGGAAAACTAAGGCAGCCATCACATCCAAGGACTGGCAAGCTGCAATATATGACATTTTTGTTGGGTTTACGGATTTATTCAACACCGTTTTTTTTTTTTTCATATAAATGGCCGGCACACTGAACTTACCATGGTATGGGGAGACACCACGGTTCAGAAACTTGAGGAACTCCCTGGCTGCCAACAGCGATGCTTCTCGTGTGCCCTTCATGGCTGCCTGCTGCAAAATAAGGGAAGGTCACTATTAGGTGTTTTAAATGACACAAATCAATAGATGGCATATGTATGCTTACTGCAGGTAAGGAGAAAAAAAACAAAACCAAAACAGATTTTTAAGGGGTGTGCTTATAAAAAAAAAGCTACAGAGCTATTCATCCCTTATAATTACATGTACATTCGTTCTGTGTGAATGGGGGGGGGGGTCTAACTGAATTGTTAGGGTATTTTCTCTACAGAGAGAATCAGGAAAATACTACAATATGGCCACTAGATGGAGCCAACGATAAGAAATAAGTATTTATTTACTATGATTCTCAGCTCCATCTAGTGGCCAAGAAACGCCATTTCCCTGATTCAGGTCACATGTTCTTTATACAGAATAGCATGAATCAGGAAAATACTAAATTATGGCCACTAGATAGAGCTAATGATAATGGGGGGGGGGGTAGCACAGTGGCTAAGTGGTTAGCACTTCCATCTGGCAGCCCTAGGGTCATTGGTTCGAATCCCAACAGCAGCACCACTCGCATGGCATTTGCATGTTGTCCCTGTGCCTGCGTGGGTTTCCTCCCGAACTCTAAAGACATGCTGGTAGGTTAATTGGCTCCTGTCTAAACTGGCCCTAGGATCTGTATGTATGAATGTGAGTTAGGGACCTTAGATTGTACGTCCCTTGAGGGTTAGGGACTGATGTGAAAAAAACAAACAAAAAAAACGATTATTATATATATATATATATATAAAATTTTCACATCAGTCCCTAACCCTATATATATATATCTCCTATGGGACACATTCACATCTCCGTATTTTCACCCGCTGCGTTTTTTGGAAAGGGTCAGGGACTTTTTTTTTTTTTTTTTAAACACAAAATGTTGCATTTTTGGCTCTATAGACTTCAATGGAGACTGCAGAAAAGCATGTAGTGCATTTTTGATGCGTTTTATTCTGCCCAGCAACAAATTGAAAGACAAAAAAAAAGTAAAAAAAAAAAAAAAAAAAAGAAAAGCAAAACGCATCATAAAACGCACTACGCACTGCAAAAACTGATCAAATGCAAACTGCATAGGTGTAAACCTAGCCTAACAAAAAAACTTTTTACTAGCGCCATCTAGTGGCCATGAAGCGTTATTTTCCTGATTCACTATTCTGTATGAAAAACATTCGACCTAGACAGAAAATAGCCCGATAACATTCATGTTTCCCTCTATTAAAGGATGAATAGCTCTGCCAGGTTTTTTTTTTTAGAAATACAGCCTTGGATAATCAGAGGTCATTAGTTCAAAATGTGCGCTGCGTGAAGCAAGGTGTCACGTGTCCCCGGACACAACACCGGGTTTTCTACAAGCTGAAAGGTATTATCTCCTTCTGGTACATGCTGTTACTTTGTGTAATCCAGCCAAAGTGCAGGATCATATTAAAGGAGGAATACGGAGAGTCCTACAAATGCCATATGGGGGGATGGATGGATGGGGGGATGGATGGACGGGCGGATAGACGGGCGGGCGGATGGATGGGTGGGCGGGCGGATGGATGGATGGACGGGCGGATGGACGGATTGATGGACGGGCGGATGGACGGATTGATGGACGGGCGGATGGACGGATTGATGGACGGGCGGATGGACGGATGATGGACGGGATGGATGGATGGGCGGATGATGGACGGGCGGATGGACGGATGGATGGATGGATGGACGGGCGGATGGACACACTAGGCAGCGGATCATTTATCTCGCCATATCCCTGGATTATCACCTACTCTCCTCTCCTTTAGGGCATGATCTCCTCAGGGGCTACCCCACCCCCTGCTAACGCATGCCGACCGGGCCTACCACTCCATCCCCCATAGCTATCTCCTCCTGTACCACCATCCCCTCCGGGCTAGATGTAATCGAAAGAACAGGGGATCCCCTCATGGATGGTATTGTTCTGACGTTCTGCACACTTCAGCCTAGCGAACAGCGCTTTATAAATACTTTATCTCGCCATATCTGACCGCACTGCTGAATCTTTAGGAAGGTGACCAGTCTTTACCTCCTCCCAGAGAGGTGCCCGAGGACCCGTCTAGGCTCCTGTGTGCTTTACATGCATTTTCACGCCTGTAGCATTGTGCTGTAAACACGTTAAATCTGACCTCCAGCCCGTCTCTACAGTCTGGCACTGTAGCAGCTCCTCTCCTGGACTGAAATGGCTTCCTCTGATCTCACTGCACACTGCGAGCTTCTCACAATGTGCATTAGAAGCTGCAAGTCAACTTCCTGGCTGGAAGACGTCCAAAATTATCTAGTTCTTTCCTCCACAACCTGTGTTCTTTCGATCCTTGAGGCTCAGCTCAGCATCACATGTGGGCATGACCTAGGGTGGTATGCATGCAAATACAGCCTGCCTAGGAATGCCAATTCCTCCAGACCGACATCCACCCATCAAGACATTTTGATATTTGCCTAAAGTGTTACTAAACCCCGGACCCCCCCGCGTTCCCCGGACCCCGCGTTCGCTACGCCCGGGCTCGCGTTCCCGGCTCCCCCCCGCGTTCACTACGCCCGCTCCCCGGTCTACGCCCGGGCTCCCGGACCCCGCGTTCGCTACCCCGGGCTGACCCGCCGCTACCCGGGCTCCCCGGACCCCGCATGACCCCTGACCCTCTGCCTGGACAGTGCTGATTGGCCCTGTGCTGATCACATACACCCTCCCAAAGAAAATAAAAACCTTAATACTCACTTAACTGAGCATGTGCTGAGTGACTCCTAGAGCTCTGTACTATCAGCAGATGGATTGGGGACAGTAGAAGGAGAGGATCAGAGAAGACAGGATCAAACAGCCTTTTTAAAGAATGCAGAGGATTAGCCCCTTAGGTTCCACAGTGAGTATAACAAGCATGCTTTACTTCATCTACAAACTGATTGTACTGTTGTGGGTTTAGTAACACCAACCCTTCCAGGAGCCAGTCCACTGCTTGCATCAGGGCTTTAGGCTCCTGAGAGGAGTATAATGAGGCAGGGGGCTTGCAATGTTTTCAGGACGTTATGTACAGAACCTTGCCAGCCATGATCTACCTGCATTACATAGAGAAGCACAGAGAACCAGTGATGACCTCACTGAGATTAAAATAAAGGTATGTAAAGGAAGCAGACAGACGGACACGCACAAAACGGGACAGACACACGCACGCACGCAAGACGGGACAGACACACACACACGCACGCACGACGGACAGACACACGCACGCAAGACGGGACAGACACACGCACGCAAGACGGGACAGACACACGCACGCACGCACACAAGACGGGACACACAAGACGGGACGCACGCACACACAAGACGGGACAGACACACGCACACACACAAGACGGGACAGACACACGCACACACACAAGACGGGACAGACACACACACACACACACAAGACACACGCACACACACACACACAAGACGGGACAGACACACGCACACACACACAAGACGGGACAGACACACACGCACACACACAAGACGGGACAGACACACGCACACACACACAAGACGGGACAGACACACGCACACACACAAGACGGGACAGACACACGCACACACACAAGACGGGACAGACACACGCACACACACACGCCGGGACAGACACACGCACACACAAGACGGGACAGACACACGCACACACAAGACGGGACAGACACACGCACAACAGAATAAATCACTGCTTGCCTGGCTTTCAATGAGATTCGAAAGCCTACAGAACCTCACCCTCTACTTTAAGAGAAGGGAGGGGCAGGTTTCTGTAGTCCTGTGCTAGGGTGACAACACTGCTTCATTGTAGATACAGGGCAGTGAGTGATGTTGTCACCTTAAGACAAAAAGTGTGATATTGGCAGGATCACCAGGTGAAAATAAAAGTTAAAAAAAAACAAAATAAAAAAAATAAAAAGAAGCCAACACCTCCAAGCACTTGCAATATCTCCTAGATTGTAAGCTCCCAGGATCAGGGCCCTCCTATCCCTCTTGTATTGAACTGTATTGTTACTGTATTGTCTCCCGTTATATTGTAAAGCGCTGAGCAAACTGTTGGCGCTATATAAATCCTGTATAATAATAATAATAATAATAAAATAAATCCTGTGTAATAATAATAATAATAATAATATAAATCCTGTATAATAATAATAATATAAATCCTGTATAATAATAATAATATAAATCCTGTATAATAATAATAATCCTGTATAATAATAATAACACAAAATCCTGTATAATAATAATAACACAAAATCCTGTATAATAATAATAATACAAAATCCTGTATAATAATAATAATAATAATAAAAATCCTGTATAATATAATAATAATAATAATATAAATCCTGTATAATAATAATATAAAATAATATAAATCCTGTATAATAATAATAATCCTGTATAATAATAATAACACAAAATCCTGTATAATAATAATAATACAAAATCCTGTATAATAATAATAATAATAATATAAATCCTGTATAATAATAATATAAATCCTGTATAATAATAATAATAATAATAATAATAATAATATAAATCCTGTATAATAATAATAATATAAATCCTGTATAATAATAATAATAATAATATAAATCCTGTATAATAATAATAATAATACAAAATCCTGTATAATAATAATAATATAAATCCTGTATAATAATAATATAAATCCTGTATAATAATAATAATAATAATAATAATATAAATCCTGTATAATAATAATAATATAAATCCTGTATAATAATAATAATAATAATATAAATCCTGTATAATAATAATAATATAAATCCTGTATAATAATAATAATAATAATATAAATCCTGTATAATAATAATAATATAAATCCTGTATAATAATAATAATAATAATATAAATCCTGTATAATAATAATAATATAAATCCTGTATAATAATAATAATATAAATCCTGTATAATAATAATAATAATAATATAAATCCTGTATAATAATAATATAAATCCTGTAT